ATCCTAGAGTCGAGGGAGCAATTTATCCACCACCAGGAACAAAGGTGGAGCCAAGGGGTGGCCAATGGTGGTCTCGGCCCACACAGATTAACCTACAGACATTCCAGTCATTTGAGGAAACTGTATTTTTAAGCAGTTTAAACATTAGAAAGTAGTTTCTTCAAATAACTGGGGTGGTCGTTTTACATATGGTGGTGGCCATCTTGTATTTTGACACTGCAAACCAATTTTCAAGTGATTTTTCTTACGCCTAGATGCAGCCAGCCAGACAGGAAGATGGTATCTAAACTACTTTTCAAGTTATCCAGCTCACAAAATGGACGGATGGTATTTGTATTTCCCCACTTAGCACCATCTGAAAGCAATCCAATCACTGAAGATCATGATTGACGACTGGCCTTAGGAGTCTATTTTCCTGGTTACATGTTGAAACCCGAAGGGCTCCAGTGTTTGTGCTCCATGTCTCAGCCAAGTCACATAATTCAGTCCATCAGCAAAACGAAGCAAAGAGAAAATGGTCTTCGTGTTGCACGATCACAACTTGTTACTATAAACATTTTCTTGAAGTATAAAAGCTTCACACTGAAACGGAGTCTGGTGATTAAACTTTATTTCAGAGAAGTGAAAGCACATTTAGTACAGGTATAGAAACAGCATCATTATTTCAAGAAACCAACCTGAAATTAAAGTGACAAGATCCACAAAAGAAACGGAAAACACACGTGAAATAAGTTAAAAACAAACCATAATCCAGACATCGCAAGGCAAACTGCAAGATAAGTTGTTTTTGTTTTATCTTTAAATATATTTTTTATTTGGTGTGACTGAAAATCGAAGTGAACGACAAACAACGTCTTATATTTAAAATAAAAAATAAAAATGCCCATAAACCCAGCCTCCACGAAATGACAGAAATACACTAAATTATTCAAACAAAAACAAACAAACAAATCCAGCTTTTCAAACCACAGCGCAAAAAAAAGAAAAAAAAAAACAATTAAAAAAACTAAACTAACGTCCTGTGCACATCATGACATATTTTAATGCAGATCAATACAACAAAAGATACATCCAGTTATTTGCTACACAAAGTGTGAAAGCAACAGTCAAGACGATAAAAAAATATCCCAACACTCATGTTGGAACTTAACGGAGAACAAGAGACTAAATCAGAGCACCTAAATCGTCAATAAATTAAAACAACAATAATTCAAAAGAATCAAAACAAAAGAGCCTTACGATAATAACCAGCTCTGAGCTTGAATTTGCTCTAATACCATACTGCAGTTCCAGGAAGCCAATGCTAAGGTTAGCATTAGCTAACATTTGCTAACGTTAGCATTAGCCAACATTAGCTAAGGTTAGCATTAGCTAACATTAGCATTAGCTAACATTAGCTAATGTTAGCATTAGCTAACATTTGCTAACATTAGCTAATGTTTGTATTAGCTAACATTAGCTAACAATAGCATTAGCTTGAAGTCACCAAACTGACAAACAAAACCCAAGTGAGTCAAGGAAAAAAAAATACTTTTGTTTGTACGAGTCCCCAGCTCTACAGAAAGTGCTTCATTTGTCATTATGCAGTTTTGTAAAATCAAATAAAACACATTTCATCACAGGACTTGGACCAAAACGAGAAAAACTCAACACGCAGTCATGTTAGCTTTAGTTTCCATTGTTCGCTACTTTTAAATGGAGGCAAAACATTTCAATCCTGCTGAAGATAGGATCCAATACTTGACTGGCAGATAGATTTAGAAAATGTGGCCGTTTAGAAGGAAACTAACTTTTAAAACACAACACTTTATAGAGCTTCACAGATGACACGCATCCAGAGTAAGCTTGTCCCGTCAGTGTATAAGTCTGTGTCTTTCATTCCTGTAAAGTTGACGGAAGCAGCTGAACTTTGTCACAGCGAATATTTCACCTGTTGCAGGTAGAAGGGATGGACAGCTACCTTTTTATTTTTTACTTTTTAAACCATAACCTGGTAGTGACGCGCCAAGTTGTTTCCCTAACAATGAGGAGCATTTCTTTGTTGTTGTCGTACTCTGCGTCCTGATGTTTGTTTCTACCATTGTCTTTTATTTTGAAAGAATTATGAAGTGGAATGTGTGATCGTGGGTGAGCTCAGCTTTACAGACCACTGGACCAGTAAAACAGAAAAGAATATATTGACCCACAGCAAGCAGCGTTAGCAGCTTGTGTTTCTGTAAGAAGAAAAATCAAATAGTTGATGACTTTAGGAGCGTGTTTGCGGAAAATGTCCATCTACGTAGCAGGAAGCGCTTGGAAAAACTTCACCTTAGAAAAATAATATTTCTAACTGGATTGATGATGGTTAGTCTGAGAGGGGCCAGGTTCAAAGCCAGTATTTCATTTTTTTATATTCATGAACACATATATATATATATTTATATGTATGTTATGTATATATATGTATATATATATATATATATATATATATACATATATATATATATATATATATATATATATATATATATATATAATCTTTTGCCACAGTTCTACCTTTACTTCAACTCTATACTAAAATACAAAAAGCACAGTGAGTTATGTCACATTTATGTTGAGTTGATTTTAAAATAGAGTTGTAAAGTGACTTCTAGTTGGGAACAACAAACTCTTAATCTCAAATCCAACATTGTTCAGTCAGGCCATCTGGACGTTTATTTTTTTGAGACGTTTCGTCCTTCATCCAAAGGACTTCTTCAGTCCAAGGAGCCACAAACAAAATGGAGTCCCACAAGCACCTCCCTCGCATAGTGGAAAAAAACATTTTTGCTGGTGATAAGATGGTTTCTGGGTCCCGCCCTCTCCCCCGTCAACTCCTCTAAAGAAGCCATACCAAAATGGTTCAAAACGTTAAAGTTCATGCTCATTAATCCAGGTACAAATCCAACATTGTTCAGTCAGGTCATCTGGATGTTTTTTTTTTTTTTGCTGAGACGTTTCGTCCTTCATCCAAAGGACTTATTCAGTTCAAGAAGCCACAACAAACTGGAGTCCCACAAGCACCTCAGTCTCAGGTTGAGTTGGCGGGGGAGAGGGCGGGCCCCAGAAACCATCTTATCACCAGCAAACTGGATTTTTCCGCTACGAGAGTGAGGTGTCTGTGGGACTCCAGTTTGTTTGTGGCTCCTCGGACTGAAGAAGTCCTTTGGGTGAAGGACGAAACGTCTCAGCGAAAAATAAAAAATAAAAAAAATAAAATCATCCAGATGATCCGACTGAACTTTGTTGGATTTGTACCTGGATTTTTGAGCATGAACTTTGGTGTCATAATCTTAAAGTTTTAAAAGTTTATGAGACGCCTCGTAGCTCAAAGTGTTGGTTGTTGGATGTTAAACGGTGAGGAACGGTGGCGGAAGTGTCCGTGACACGGCAGCGGGGTCCGGTTTCCATACAGAGAGGCTCTCAGCGCTCCTCAGCTGCCTCTGCAGGGAGGGCAGAGCCGCTCCATTCATGAGCTCGACAGACAGAAGACCTGTGGTAACTCGAGCGGCGACCCGTCTCGCTTTCTGCCCCAGACCTGAGCTAACCCTCAGACCCGTCTCTCCTTTCGCCGGCGGCGTTCTGACGGAGCGGTAACCCTAAACACGTGGCATTTCTGCACCGGCTCGGGGGGTTACCCCAGGATATTTTCACGGAGTCACGTGAAAATATCTGATTTAGTAACAGGAGGAGTTCCTCATGAACAGAACAAACAAATAAAAAAAAAATTAAATTTAAATCTGCTCAATCAGAAGTCCTCTTTGAAAAATGGTTGCATAAAAAATACTTGAACCTGAAGTGGTTTTTAAAGAATAAAGAGTTGCCAGTTGCTCAGCAGCGAATATCGTTTTAGTATCCAATATTTACCTCGGGTTTTAATATTTATTTCTACTACACTATACAATACAAACTATGTATGAATAGACTTTAAAACCTAATGTTTTATATCTGATCCCATATACATATGTGTTTGTCTGTTAGCAAAATATCTCAAACCAGTGCAAAGATTTTTGTGAAGCTCTCAGGAAGTAATCAATGGATGCATGTCTACGACTGATTAACTAATGGAGCCAACCTGGTTCAAGATGGGCGCCACAGCTAATCAATGTTAGCGTAGGCCTGTCGCGATAAACAATAAATCAATTGATCGCATGATAAATGAAAATGATCCACCTCATTTTCATTTATCGGCTTTATCGTTTCTTCGTCTCTCTCTTTCTACTGAAGACTCTGGATGACAAAAAGCTCAACTCCGGTGCTCTTCACAGACTCCTCCCTTTCTCTTTTAAATCCATTTTAACCGACCAAAATCGTGTTTTTGGATCGTTAAAAGCAGCTAAGCTGAGAAGCTAAGCTACGAGCTAAGCTAACAGGCCGACCTCAGGAAAAACCTCCATCTTGTCAAAGCTCCAAAATTCACAGTTGAAACCCGTGCCTTCGTCTAAAAAGTTGTTTTTCTCTGCAAAAAGAAGCTGAGAACTTGTTGACTGATTTTTTATTAAAAGGTTTGTGTGAAAAATGCTAAACAGCTCAAACCGCACCGAGCGTCTGCCATTTTGAGAACTGAAAAGAGACAGCCCATGTCACGTCAAGGGGCCTCCATCCCCTTTTTCTTCAAGAGACACGCTGCGCGCTCCCTCACTATCCATCCTTCAGTACAAACAGTCTTATACTGCCATCCGGTGGTCAAAAAATGTAATCCACACAAAAATCAACCAACATTTCTTCTTAAATTTAACAATAATTACTAATTATTGTCAAATTTCAAACAATATTATCGTTTATCGCAATAATTTCTGAGACAATTAATCGCCCAGCAGAATTTGTTATCGTGACAGGCCTACGTTAGCGATCACAAAAATGGCCACCACTCCGCTGATTTTACAGCCACTGAGCTAGTATTTGGTGTGGTAGTAGCTGCGAGTCATCCCTAACAAACAACTCAACTCTAGATTGTAGTAGAGCTTTTAAAGTTTGGCTCGCAGTGGGGCAGGTAATATACATTCCTATTAAAATGTTTTTATTCATTTTTCAAGTGATTCTAGTTTTACAATCTGATCAATTAGTGCGTCTTTGGGAATTATGGCAACTATTTTCTTAAACTAGACAGAAAGAACATCGACTTGTTTAACATTTAATTTTAATAACGAGATGTAAACGGACGGTTTAGTTTCGGTGATGCGCAGAAATGCGCCGCCTAAACTCAGGTTATAATCCGAACGTGAACGAAACTTAATTTAATGATTTGGCACCTTTTTCCTTCAATGTGAGATAAATTAATTAAGATAACGTTTTATTTGATTCGTGTTGATATATATATGCAACGTTGAGGATACCCGTGTGGTTCTTTAGAATTAATTAATTAATTTAGGAGAAGGGGAACAACCTCAAAGACCTGAATTGATTCGTTTACATAAAACATAAAAAATAATCCCTTTTTTGTGTCCAAATTGTGTTCTTTAAATGAAAATGTATAATTTCAGACAAATAAAACTTTATGTCCTTACATTTGTACAGAGAGCTAAAAGTTGTTTTTTTTTTCCGAGGTTTGGCTTCTCTTTGGCACCATTAAAGCCTTCGTGGCCAAACACATCTGCAGTCTTTAGCAAAATGACTATTTATTTTACAACGGACTTATTTGAAGACGTGTCGTTTAGTCTCACGTAGCATTACTGTGCAAATGCAGTATTGCACATATTAAAAAACATTTTACACCGGACAGAAAACTTTTTACATTCAAGATTGAAACACGTGTTTTTCGTGTACAAATACTCAAGTCAAACTTCCAGTACGCGTTCATTTTATAAACATTTTCTCACGAATCCAGAACTAAAGAGGCTCCTTACTCAGAGGTCCGAGGAGCTGCAGCGGTTCTTGACTCTGGGCACCACCAGGATCTCGTCTCCGTCTCGGATCCTGTAGGAGTGGAGCGCCCTGAAGCCACACTTCAGCTCCTCGGGTCCGAGCACCGAGCACATCTCTCTGTCGATGTGGAACAGCCGGACGCCGTTGGTGGGCAGCTGCAGCAGGGCTCGTAGCTGTTTCTTCAGGTCGCCCACCGTCTGCTCCAGGCGGAGGCTGACGGGCTGCACCTGGTCACCCCAGCGGACGTCCACCACGGTGCTGCGGGGAGTCAGGTCCACCTCTGCCAGTGGAGCCAGCTGACCATACTTGGACACAAGAACGTGGTACCTGGGAAAGAAAGTGCACGGTTCATCGAAATTAAATAAAAACACGCTGGAATGGTCGATCACAGCGCAGCTCGTTAGCAAGGTGAGTTTGTGCCGCCATCTTGGTAGGTGGTAGGTGGCATCCTTCAGTACTGACAGCACAGCAACAGAACACGGATATGTGAAGGAAAAATCATAACTTAAGGCGAGAACAATGCTTTGCCATTAATTATTATAAAAGCAGAAAACTTCAGTGATGTAAAGCGAAATATTCCTTCTACAAACTCAAAATCAGATTTGGTTGAATTTAATATTAAAAAATAAATGTAAATGTATTATCCCAAAATAAACAAAAATATGTCTACATGTCTCTGATAGGGGTGAGCGGTGATTTACAAATATTCAGTCTTTTAACGTAAGAATTTGAATACGGTAATTAAAGTGAGCCTTTGTATCTTATTTTGAAAGGATTATGAAGTGGAAACTACATTCAACCTTTATTTACAGTATACAGTTTAGTTTCACTGAGTCACGAGGACTCGTTTACAAGAGAGATCCGTTTTAGACGGAAAACATATAAAGTACAGACAACAAATAGAAATTCAATCAAATAAAATTAGTTATAAAAACAGTCCAATCAAGTGAAGTTTCCCCGACCAGTATACAAACAGGGCGCCCCGCCCTGTC